TAGGTAACACATTACAAACGGCACTTAAAATGCAGGTAAATTACCAAAAAAGAAGAAGAAATAAAAACTAGAAAAAAACAAAACAAACATTACTGCGTTAGTCAAGCAGAAGAAAAATGGTGATAAATACTGAACAATCAGTCATTTATCGCATAAAACATGTTTACCATTACTTGAATCTTGGATATTGTTTTTTCCTAAACTCTGAGCACATTTTTCTATAATTTGATTTTTTCTTGAAATATTTTGGCTCATCTAGAGGCACGAAACTTTATTTAGGGCCTTATTGGTATATAAAGTGTCCACAGCCATAGAATCAGTTTGTGTATCAAACTTTGGATCATCAAATTCATTTTAGATATTACTTGGCACTGAAGTCAAGGTGTACTTAAACTCCTTTACATATAAATTTTAGCATTAAATTTTTTCCTAGTGTATATTAATAGTGCTGCCATGATATAAAGAAATGATTGTGTCCTAGTGTATATATAAATACGGCTGTTATAGAAGAAATTGTGTCTCAGTCTATAATAATACGGCTGCTAATCGAAGAAATTGTGTCTCAGTCTATATTAATACGGCTGCCAAAAGAAGAAATTGTGTCCCAGTCTATATTAATACGGCTGCCAATAGAAGATATTGTGTCCTAGTTTATATTAATACGGCTGCTAATCGAAGAAATTGTGTCCAAGTCTATATTAATACGGCTGCCAATAGAAGAAATTGTGTCCTAGTCTATATTAATACGGCTGCAAATAGAAGAAATTGTGTCCTAGTCTATATTAATACGGCTGCCAAAAGAAGAAATTGTGTCCTAGTCTATATTAATACGGCTACCAATAGAAGAAATTGTGTCCTAGTCTATATAAATACGGCGGCAAATAGAAGAAATTGTGTCCTAGTCTATATTAATACGGCTGCCAATAGAAGAAATTGTGTCCTAGTCTATATCAATACGGCTGCAAATAGAAGAAATTGTGTCCTAGTCTATATTAATACGGCTGCAAATAGAAGAAATTGTGTCCTAGTCTATACAAATACGGCTGCAAATAGAAGAAATTGTGTCCTAGTCTATATTAATACGGCTGCAAATAGAAGAAATTGTGTCCTAGTCTATATAAATACGGCTGCAAATAGAAGAAATTGTGTCCTAGTCTATATAAATACGGCTGCAAATAGAAACAAAATGTGTCCTAGTCTATATAAATACGGCTGCAAATAGAAGAAATTGTGTCCTAGTCTATATAAATACGGCTGCCAATAGAAAAAAATTGTGTCCTAGTCTATATAAATACGGCTGCCAAAAGAAAAAAATTGTGACCTAGTCTATATAAATACGACTGCCAAAAGAAAAAAATTGTGTCCTAGTCTATATAAATACGGCTGCCAAAAGAAAATAATTGTGTCCTAGTCTATATAAATACGGCTGCCAATAGAAAATAATTGTGTCCTAGTCTATATAAATACGGCTGCCAAAAGAAAAAAATTGTGTCCTAGTCTATATAAATACGGCTGCCAAATAGAAAATAATTGTGTCCTAGTCTATATAAATACGGCTGCCAAAAGAAAAAAATTGTGTCCTAGTCTATATAAATACGGCTGCCAAAAGAAAAAAAATGTGACCTAGTCTATATTAATACGGCTGCCAAAAGAAAAAAATGTGACCTAGTCTATATAAATACGACTGCCAATAGAAAATAATTGTGTCCTAGTCTATATAAATACGGCTGCAAATAGAAACAAAATGTGTCCTAGTCTATATAAATACGGCTGCAAATAGAAGAAATTGTGTCCTAGTCTATATAAATACGGCTGCCAATAGAAAATAATTGTGTCCTAGTCTATATAAATACGGCTGCCAATAGAAAAAAAATGTGACCTAGTCTATATAAATACGACTGCCAATAGAAAAAAATTGTGTCCTAGTCTATATAAATACGGCTGCCAAAAGAAAAAAAATGTGACCTAGTCTATATAAATACGACTGCCAATAGAAAAAAATTGTTTCCTAGTGTATATAAATACGGCTGCCAAAAGAAAAAAAAATTGTGTCCTAGTCTATATAAATACGACTGCCAATAGAAAATAATTGTGTCCTAGTCTATATAAATACGACTGCCAATAGAAAAAAATTGTGTCCTAGTCTATATAAATACGACTGCCAATAGAAGAAATTGTGTCCTAGTGTATATAAATACGGCTGCCAATAGAAAAAAATTGTGTCCTAGTCTATATAAATACGACTGCCAATAGAAAAAAAATTGTGTCCTAGTTTATAACAATACGGCTGCCAATAGAAGAGAATTGTGTCCTAATTTATATTAATACGGCTGCCAATAGGACAATTACTTACTCGTTTCAATGCTTAAAGCGATATTATTTCAGATTTCCAAGCGCAAATGGTGAGTGGAAAAGTTTAATTCGAAATAACTATAAATTTTGCCACAGTTGTGCTCAACTCTTTATTTTTCTTCGCAATAAAAATAATGAAAGCAATTGCAATAAGTGACTCATGGAAATTCAGTACCTATTATAGTCTTCGGATTTCATCCGTAACGTTCGAGTGATAGAAAGAATATGGCAATCTTTTATATCTGTGATGGTTTTACGAGTCAGTATTACGCTGCAATATTAATGAATAAAGCAATAGAAACTCTGTTAAACTTCAGCGACTATCCATATTTCTGCCCTGGTTTGGTTGATAGCAGCTTAAAGCCCCGTTTTTAACGCCAATTTAAGCGCACATATATAATGAGAGAATAAAAAAATTGTTTTGTTGTTGAATTCCTTATGTATTTTTAAACACAGAATTTCGACAAACTATAACTAACCGAATATTCTGTAGTAAGCATGTTTTTATTAAATTGAACATTAATCTACTGTTCGAATGTTTTAGGGTTGGGACATATAGGCGTTCGAACGCCGAGTTTCGCGCCAAATTTGTATATAGTGATCAGGCTATTCTATTGATTTCCCTATAACAATACACAATTAGAAATTGCCCAAAACGAACCTTAATTAAAATTGGGCATTTATCCTAAAGATGTATTGTATTCTTTGAGAATGTAAGAAATGCCTGACAAATAAAGATCGTCTAGTCTATAAAGCGGATTACCATCTTTTTTATAAAAATTCATTGCTAACAGGCGCGCGTTGTGTTTATCCAGATAAATACGGCGCTTTAATGAATGGTAAAAATACTGTAAACTTTTTAAGCAGCCACAGACAAACACTGATAAATACGACCCGTCCTTATAGCTGTTTTAATATTATTTTATAAGTATTATTGAAATCCTTACTTTGATAGAATTTAAGCATTTATTTCAACTCTGTGAAATTAATAACAAACTAAACAAACTAAACACTGCAAGCACGATCGCACGCACACACACAACTGAGAACAAAAAGAAAAAGCCAGGTACTCTTTTTTCGAGTGTCCCAGCCAGGTACTCTTTTTCGGGTGTCCCAGCCAGGTACTCACTTGAGTCAGAGAACGGGACATGTGAGATCTTCCCCAAACAGTTAACTAATGAACATAATGGTCAATTGCGATTTAACATGAAAAAAAAAATACTTTGGATAAAGAATTATCGAGAAGCTTCAAATATACAAAGCAGATTTGTTCTTAAATACCAAGATTTTTGTTTCACATGGCAGCCTTTTCTCTTGGAGCGGCGTTGGTGGTGGTTGTGGGGTGAATAGAAATATTGCATTAACATTATAAAACGGTAACAAAAACTGACAAGCACATAATGTTTTATCCGTTTTTCATTTGAATTAAAACCTGTCATTTTTCGGACTAAAGAAAGAGTAAATAAAAAGAAAATGTCTCTATCTTAACAGACTTAAAATCCCCCGTCTTGACAGAATAAACAGTGATACAATTTCCCATCATTTATATAATTTTTTTACTACACAAATTATGTAATGGGTTTGCTCAGCCTTGACTTCGGAACAGTTCATGATATTAAATATATCAAAATATTGACCTGCCTTGATTGGCCTTAAAATGAATGCTAAGGCAAATCTTTTTCAGCATTTAAAGGGTTTATTTTGTCGTTGGTTATCAAAGCACTCTTTGGCATGGTAGCTTATAAATTGCAGATTTGCGCAAAGAGTGTCTTTGAAGGAAATATCTGTACACGACAATCTAACCTTAAGCAAATATGTCAATACATAAATATAAAAGTTATGTCAATACATTATTCCACTAGTTCTTGTATGGTATTATTATTACAGTACTCACTTTTGTGTTAATAAATGATCTTGGACCGCCGCTAAGCGTATCGAAGTCATTCATTTATTAAATGCATTGAGATATAATATTATTACATATCACGTACATCATGTATCATATGGTGTAGATTTTAATGTTTTCCTTCACCAAGTAACGTATAAAATTTGATTTTTTTTACATCAAATATATATAAAAAATGTACATAAAAAACAACAAGCAGAAGATAAATTCAATACTTCTGTTATTCCAAATCGATGGTTTTTCTGTAAAAATAAAACATTTAAACCATTTAAATACGAGTTTTACTATCATGAAGGGGTCACACGGTTCCAGTTAGTAGAAATATATTATAAAACCACAAAATAAGATCAAATAGTCGGATACGTTATCAAGTTTATTTTATTGATACAGAATAAAAATAAATTATTCTTTTCACCCAACAAATATTGCAGATGATGAACGAATCATTAAGTTGTTCACCAATAATTAACACTTCAGCCCATCCACATTATTGTTATGTTTATTTGACTCCCCTCGTCACAATTTTCGACTAACAAAGAAGCTGCCGACACGTCCTATTGTCCCTGTAACACGACGCCTCACTCACGACCAAGCGTATAAATCAACTATTAACAACAATTGTATTATTGTCAATGCGTGTATATACCGCAGATATTTGTTAAAATGAAAAAAAAGGACGAGGCAGGCTAATCCGCTAGTTTCCTGACGCTTGTACAAAACTGACAGGCTATGTCCGGGAGATTCCAAATGAATTCATGACGTCACGTTTCGCGCGCACATATCAATTGGCTAATAAGCGACGCAGGTACAACATTGCTATATAAGTTGGGAATTTTGTTAGTTTAAATTCAGAATTTAATGAAGACACAGCTAAGAAGGAACATCTTATAAAGGTAGGTGGTCTTTTAATTTTTTTTTATATTAATTATTGTGCTCTTTTCTTCTCAAATTATGTTATTGTAGTTTCTATTCCAGTCTATTGTGTTTATAAATGGGATAAAGTAGCGAAGTTGTTAGTTGCAATATTCTATCTTTTTCATTGGAATTTGCTTTATTGCAATTTGATAGTATATAATAGAAAATATAAATGTAAGAAAAGAACAACATAACGTACATATTTGGTTTCTTTATCATACATTGCCATTTTCTTCAGTAAATTTCATACTAGACTATTTCTTTTAAATATTGTGTTTCAAATTCTTACACAAACCCTTTGATCTTAAACCTGATAGACGTCGACAAAAGGTTTCTTAGGAATTAAAAATTTACAGTTTCTATTTTTGCGTCGTTCTCAAATTTCACACTTACGATGGGAATTAATTATTTACGGAAAGTCTTTTTTTTTCAAATTTCTTGTTAGCATTAAATTATCTTTAGTCATTCACTAAATAAAATTCTCAAAAATACGTTGAATATATAAGTTGAGTTTAAACAATAATTTATTGCAATCAAACCTGTATACGCAATAAAAATACAATCAAATACAAATATTCAAATTTATTATGGATCAAAATACATGCTTACATGATTTAAAGTGTTGAAACATCACATATATTGTATTATATTGTCATATTATCAATAATACATGTACTATCCTATTCAGAGACAAAATAACAACAAAGAAATTAAAACTTTTCGTATTTAAATATTGCACAGGATTTTTGTATTGTTTATCATTCAACAAGTTGTTCACATAGATTGGATTTTTCACAAACTTTCCACTTTATGTTACTTTAATTTTTTTTTAAAATTGGGGGAATGGTAAAAAAACCCCCCAAGAAGGGAACTAAACGCAAATAATAAAATAAAATTTAAATTTAACCATTCAAATTCTTTATTTTAAAAGGAAAACCTCCCTTTTTGGGGTTTTTTGACATGATGGGATTTGGAAAATTTTTTTTCCCAAAATTTGTAAAATTTTATGTGGGTTTAACCCCCTAATCTTTGGAAAAATTTTTCAGAACATTCGCGCACGTTTTTTCCAGAATAATTATTCAAATTGTTAAAATACATGTAAGACCAAAATGAAAAGCGTTTAAACGCTTTCCACTCAAATCGGGTTACGAAAAGCATAAAAATACGATTTTCAATTTATTTCAAAGTATATTTCTTAACTATCTTTGCTCATTTTTGTAAGAAATTCAAATGTCATGTGTTTTTTTAGGATTTTAAACCTCAATGGAATCCCTTTAATGGTCTTTCTTATTCTAGATTGTTTAAAAAACATGAAACATTCAATAGCCTCGCACTTTGCACTTACCAATTGAAAAACGTCAGCGTTGCATAGCCTACTGTATTTTGTGATATAAATTCAACAACATTATATCACTTTAAATTGTACATTAAAAATTCATACTTTTTAAAATTCATTTTACACTGTATTATTTCATTGCATATGTTAATAAAAGTGATTTTTCATGGATACAATTATCCATGATTTTTAGGGCGGCCAACACGCGTCATTGCCAGTCCTTGAAACATATGTGCTGAACAGAAGACAATAATAATTACAATTATAATAGTTCACCCTGATGCATACACTGTCTGTTACAAAATTGATTAACATTGCTTCATTGAAATAAACTTAATTGATAAATAATTAATGTTTTTCATCATCGTCGGCGAATCATCGGATGGTACTGTTTTGAAGATAATTATAAAAGCAATATATATGCATAATTGGACCTAAAGTTGTACCATAAATTGTTTATTTGAAATGATATAGTTTCGTACCATGTATTTTACGACAATGCTTTGTTCATGAAATGTTTATCAAATTTATCAATGCTTTTTTTGAATAGCAGGGTAATTTGTCACACTGAATAATCGTTATATATACATTTTGTATATATACATCATTGTATTTCATAGAACTATACTTGCGGCTTCATTTTTACAATATCAATTCTATAGTCAATGCCGACACATTATAACATGCTTTTAGGCAACCAATAATTGTAACTATGAGAACAATCGATCTGTTCATATTTTGAAGCAAAAGTATATGTAAAAAGTGGTAGTTTAGCAGCATATATTCATATCATTACATTAAAGCATTATGCTTCCAGATTCTTGCTAATTTCAATGAAAATGTTTAAAATACACGGAAAAGTAAAAATATTTTGAATTGAACTAAGAAAGTTATTTAAATGTTTCAAATGGAACTTACAATCCACGTAAATTTAACAAAAAGAGGGCAAAATATGCAAACATGGACTTTACTGCGTTAGTAACACAGTAGAAATATGATGATAAATACTGCAAAAATTTGTCATTAACCACATAGTACATGTAAATTATTACTTTGGACTTGAATTTTATTTATTTTTCTGAATATCTTATTAGATTTTTACTAAATTTTCCAATAAATTACTGAAACTCTTATGTAGACTTATATACAAATTCAATGTTTTGAACGGCCCGTTATCATTATTTTGAATAAGATGATCAAACCTTAAAGTAAGGGCATCACCAGTGTAGACTAAGACCATACTGCCAGGACCTTCAGGCTGGACTGACTCTATACTGGTGACAAAGGCTAATCAATGTCCGTCTGTCCGTTTTAGCACGGTTCAGGATAATGATGAACAGTGTTGTCATAGTAGCCATATAGCGGTCAGTTTGGTCTTTAAAACATGCATCTAGATTCATGCTAATTTTCAGGGAAACTTTAATAAAACGTGTTTAAAAATAGGAATTTGTGAAGCGAACAAGACAAGGAAAATAATTTACACAATGCAAGCAGCACTTGCAATCCGCATCAATTACCAAAAAAAATAAGCAAAAATAACCATTATTGCGTTAGTAGCGCAGCATAAATATAGTGAAACATACTCAATCGCACATAATTTGTAAATTATAACTTGACTCTTAAAATGTTTTGATGTTTTTAATCTTAGTTGATTTTTCTCAGGTTTAGTTTTCTTTATAATATTATACTTTTGGCTCATCTGCAGGCGTGTCGCTTTTAAACACTATATCATTCGGATAAATGTATGAATGACGTCACAAATATTAAGGATAAAATCCATATCAATATAAATTTTGTACGTATCATTCTGAGGAAAAGAACTATAGAATAATACCATACAATAATAAATCACATGAAATAATATTTTATATGTGATATATTATAAGTAATTATATATTCTGTATTGTATCGATATGCTTTATTGACTAATTATTTATTTCGATATTAATTAATGAATAACACGGTAACATTAAATATTTACCATAATGCTTTAAATTATATCAAAAATTGTTAACTTTCTCCTCACAATGCTTACATTTACGCTATAAAATAAAATATGAAATAGTGTTTGCATTGTCTTTGCACTGTGGCCATGATCAACTAAAGTTAACGTAGCTTTGTAAAAAATAACACGCTATGTAAAATAAAAAAGTGAATTTTCACCACACACTATAAATTTAAAATGAGTTCACGTGCTTCTATATAACCTTTGTAAAATAATCTGTAAATTGCCTTTATTTTGTAACTATACCTTCACAAATTTAATCATCAGGTGTCATCACCATCAAATGTAGTTAAACAATCATATAGTGAATTTACAGTGCGACAAAAAGACATGGGTAGTTTAAGTGAAACGAAATTTTATCAGTTTGTTTGCAAAGAAAAAAAACAACTAAAAACCAAATAAGTTACCAAAACAACTGACATTAATCTTTAGTAAATCTGTAATCCAGTTTGATACTTTCGATTGGGAGTTTAAAAATTTGAGTATATTCGAAAATTAGATAAAAAACTCATTTATGTCTTTCCTTTATGTTTTGTTTCTAAGCAAAAACGTTCGAGCTTAAGTTGACTTAATACATTTCTTCAAGTTAAACTCAGACTCAATCAAACCGAGCCTGCAACATTTTCAATTTTGTCGTGCTGGACTTCCTTAAGGGATACAGTTGTTCTCTATCTTCAATCAGTATAGCCTTGCCATGTAATATATTAGTGTTCGTATATGTGTATACTTGAAAGGTAATTTGTAAAGGAATTAACTTTTAGAATAACGACTACATTTAGCTTTGGTAAAATGATACGAAAGTTCTTACTCTGCCCTCGTACGATCCTTAATGTTCATCTTCTAACTGATGGTCCTGTGCGTCTTGGTCATGTATAGGCGGTGGTAGGGGCATGCTGCGTTTTATAAATGTCGCTCTTCCTTGTTAATCCTATTTTTCATATGTTTTGATATTGATGTCTTTTATGTAAGCCTTACATCATGTTAACAGCAAACTTTGAATAGAATAGTTGAGTTAATAGGAATCAATTTTCAATGCTATGTTACACTAGAACTCAAATGTAATGGACATAAGAAGAAAAGAAAATATGCAAGAAAGCAAGAACAAATTATGCAAAATTAGAATCTCGATAAGGACTATATATTTGACCTTAATTTAATTTAATCAAATAATGTAAGTTTGTAGAGCAAGGGGCGGGGGTAACGCTTACAGAATGAAAACTCCTTCGATGTCCAGCCGTACAGGTTCACTCTAAGAACAACCAGTGGGACACCGCCGCAGATGGACTATTGAGTTGTGCGGTCGGGGAACGGGGAACACAATGCAGGACTGGCGGCATAAACTTAAGTAATTAAGGCTATGTTTATATAGTAACGAACGAATTTAACTTTACGCTAAAGAATGGCATTATTTCATTCTCGGAAACTTTTATAATTGTCGACAGCTCTTTAATTCTTTTTATATAAAAGTATATTAACAGTCAAAACAACGACAATGAAAAAGAACATTATTAATTATTTAACATTTTTGAAATATCACACTAGTATCTTGGAGTTAATTTAGTGCTAGGCCTCCTCCATCGTTTCTTCTCTTGCTTTAGTTGGCGACACCTACTGCAATACCTTTGATTTGGTCTTGT